TTGTTTTGATGTGTTCTTGGATTTGTTTTTCGAGAATTTTATTGAGAATTTTTGCATCAATATTCATAAGGGACATTGGTCTGAAGTTCTCTTTCTTTGTTGGGTCTTTGTGAGGTTTGGGTATGAGTGTAATTGTAGCTTCATAGAACAAATTGGGTAGTATTCCTTCTGTTTCCATTTTGTTGAACAGTTTATAGAGAATTGGTATTAGGTCTTCCTTGAAGGTCTGATAGAATTCTGCACTAAAACCATCTGGTCCGAGGCATTTTATTTATTTATTTATTTATTTATTTATTTATTTTTGTGGAGAGACATTTAATGACTGCTGCTATTTCCTTAGGGGTTATGGGACTCTTTAGATGATTTATTTGCTCCTGATTTAACTTTGGTACCTGGTATGTGTCTAGGAAATCGTTCATTTTATCCAAGTTTTCCAGTTTTCTTGAGTATAGACCTTTGTAGTAGGATCTGATGACTTTCTTTAATTTCCTCAGTTTCTGTTGTTATGTCTCCCTTTTCTGATTTTATTATTTTGGACACTCTTTCTGTGCCATCTGGTTAATCTGGCTAAGGGTTTATCTACCTTGTTGATTTTCTCAAAGAACCAGCTCCTGGTTTTGTCTATACTTTGTATAGTTCTTTCTGTTTCTATTTGGTTGATTTCAGCCCTGAGTTTGATTATTTCCTGCCATCTACTCCTCTTGTGTGTATTTGCTTCTTTTTGTTCTAGAGCTTTTAGGTGTGCTGTCAAGATTCTAGTATATGCTCTCTCCAGTTTCTTTTTGTAGGCCCTTAGGGCTATGAGTTTTCCTCTTAGCACTGCCTTCATGGAGTCCCACAAGTTTTGGTATGATGTGTCCTCATTTTCATTAAATTCTAAAAAGTCTTTAATTTCTTTCTTTATTTCATCCATGACTAAGTCATCATTGAGTAGAGAGTTGTTCAGTTTCCATGTGCACGTGGGTTTTCCATTGGTTTTGTCTTTATTAAAGACCAGTCATAGTCCGTGGTGATGTGATAGGATGCAAGGGATTATTTCAATCGTTTTGTATCTGTAGAGGCCTGTTTTGTGACCAATCATATGGTCTATTTTGGAGAAGGTACCATGAGGTGCTGAGAAAAAGGTATATTATTTTGTTTTAAGATGAAATGTTCTATAGATGTCTGTTAAGTCCATTTGGTTCACAACTTCTATTAATGTCAAAGTGTCTCGGTTTAGTTTCTGTTTCCATGGTCTGTCCATTGCTGAGACTGGGGTGTTGAAATCCCCCACGCTTATTGTGTGAGGTGTAATGTGTGTTTTGAGCTTTAATAAAGTTACTTTTATGTATGTGGGTGTCCTTGCATTTGGAGCATAGATGTTCAGAACTGAGAGTTCATCTTGATAGATTTTTCCTTTGATAAGTATGAAGTGTCCTTCCTTATCTTTCTTGATTACTTTTGGTTGAAAGTCAATTTTATTTGATATTAGAATGGCTACTCTAGCTTGTTTCTTGGGACCATTGGCTTGGAAAATTGTTTTCCAGCCCTTTACTCTGAGGTAGTGTCTGTCTTTGTCACTGAGGTGCGTTTCCTGTATGCTGCAAAATTCTGGGTCCTGTTTGTGTATCCAGTCTGATAGTCTGCGTCCTTTTATTGGAGAATTGAGTCGATTGATATTAACAGATATTAAGGAAAAATGATTCCTGTTATTTTTGTAATTAGAGGTAGAATTATGTTTATGTAGCTGTCTTCTTTTGGGGTTGTTGGAAGATTACTTCCTTGGTTTTTCTAGGTTATAGTTTCCTTCCTTGTGTTGGCATTTTCCATCAATTATCCTTTGAAGTGCTGGGTTTGTGGGAAGATATTGTGCAAATTTGGTTTTGTTGTGGAATTTCTAGGTTTCTCCATCTATGGTAATTGAGAGTTTTGCTGGGTTTAGTAGTCTGGGCTGTCATTTGTGTTCTCTTAATGTCTATATGATGTCAGTCCAGGATCTTCTGGCTTTTATAGTCTCTGGTGAGAAGTCTTGTGTAACTCTGATAGGTCTGCCTTTATTTGTTACTTGACCTTTTCCCCTTACTGCTTTAACTATTTTTCTTTGTTTTGTTCATTTGATGTTTTGATTATTATGTGATGAGAGATATTTCTTTTCTGGTCTAGTCTATTTGGCATTCTGTAGGCTTCTTGTATGTTTATGGGCATCTTGTTCTCTAGGTTAGGGAAGTTTTCCTCAATAATTTTGTTGAAGATATTTACTGGCCCTTTAAGTTGGGAATCTTCACTCTCATCTATACCTATTATCCTTAAGTTTGGTCTTCTCATTGTGTCCTGGATTTCCTGGATGTTTTGGGTTAGAAACTTTTTACATTTTGCATTTTCTTTGACAGTTGTGTCAATGTTTTCCATGGTATCTTCTGAACATGAGATTCTCTCTTCTATCTCTTGTATTCTGCTGGTGATGCTTGTGTCTATGACTCCTGATATCTTTCCTAGGTTTTCTATCTCCAGGGTAGTCTCCCATTGAGATGTCTTTATTGTTTCTATTTCCAATTTTAGATTCTGGATAGTTTTATTTAATTCCTTTATTGTGTTTTCTTGCAGTTCTTTAGTGGATTTTTGTGTTTCCTCTTTAAGGGCTTCTACCTGTCTACCTGTGTTCTCCTGTACTTCTTGAAGAGAGTTACTTATGTCCTTCTTAAAATCCTCTATCAGCATCAGGAGAAGTGATTTTAAATCTGAATCCTGTTTTTCCAGTGTGATGGATTGACCAGGGCTTGCTATGGTGGGAGAACTGGATTCTGATGATGCCAAATAACTTTGGTTTCTGTTGCTTATATTCTTGTGCTTGCCTTTCGCCATCTGGTTAACTCTGTTACCTGTACTCACTGTGTCTGACTTGAGTTTGTCTTTCCAGTTATCTTGCTTGTGTCAAAACTCCTTAGAGTTCAGATGTCTCTGTGATCTTGTGATCCTAAGTTCCTGGGTGGAAGAACTCCTGGGACTCAGATCACCTCTGGGATCTGGAAATTCTGCTGCTCTGAGTGCAGTGGTTACTCTAGGATGGCTCAGGATATGGTGTCTTCACAAGAGCAGACCATCTAGGTGTCTGCTGCTCTGAGTGCAGTAGCTCCTCTACGATGGCTTAGGATACAATGTCTCCACAGAGCACACCAGCTAGGTTGTTTTGTACTGTTAAAGAGAAAATTACTACGGGTAAATGCAAAGGTAGAGCAGGTGTGGGTTTCCGGCTAGGATGTAGCTAGCCGGTGATGTCTGTAATAAAGTATTCACTTACTTCAAAGCTCTGAGCTTCACCCAGCAACACACACACACACACACACACACACACACACACACACGCCAGTAAAGAACATTGTAAATAAATAATTCTTGTTCTCAATGGACTTACTATTGAAGAAAAGCAAAATAAATACATAAAATCAGAAAATTACTGCTCAGATGGCAGGGTTAAAAAATCAATGTAATGGAAATGAAGTTTGAAACTGTGAAAACATTAGTCAGAGAAGGTAGCATCTGAGTTAGGCCTAGATAGATATGATAATTACATTGACAACACAGTTTTTGGGGTGGGCCCACTCAGAGTCCTGGATCTGGGCCTAGGTAGCTGAGCATAGGCAGGAGAAGCAGGGTCAGTTTTCCTGCCCTCATACTCTGGAGCTTGCTCACTTGCACCCATGCCTCTAGACCCAACTCCTCTGTCAACTCAGGTCATGGGACCCACTTGACCCAGGCAAGAGGCTGGACCTCCCAAGCAACTCCCAAGTGTTGCTGCTGGTAAGAGGTGGACCCAGCTCTCCAGAGTGATTCAGCCAGTGAGGGGCAGAGCCAGCTCACCTGCTTTCATGACCCCGTGGCCAGCTCTCCCAACTGCCACAGTCCTGAGGAGTGATGGGGTGAGGGCATTACCTCTGTATCCACACCTCCACATGGAAAACCAGTAGCAGAGCCAGATCGCCTGTGCCTCTGCCAGAGTTAGCTCTCCTGTTCTGTTCAGGTACAGGGCCTACTCTTTCAAGTTCTGCAACTGCTCAGGGCAGGACTAGCTCTCCCATTCCATGTCCCTGTGAGCAGCTTTCCCGACTGTGCTGCCTGGGCAAGGCACAGGGCCTGCTCCCCCAAGTTCTGATGCTGATAAGTAGGAACAGCTTGAAGTGGAAATTTCTGGTCTCCTTGGAGACCCAATTGTTTTGTGTGACGTTTTTCTGGAAACTATCTAAGATGTTTTGCTGAAACAGACACGTAGGAAGATGTTTTGCTGATGATGTTTTGGTCGGTGGGCTGTAAGAGAGGTTGAAGCATTTAAGAAATCTTATTAAAGTAGATTTAAAAAAAAATAAGCCTACACTAACTCTCCAGAATGATGCAGCCAGTGAAGGGTGGGGCCAGTTTTGCAAAGCCCTGGACATCCTTGGGACCCCCTCCCCCTTGCAGTAGCTTTCTTGATCAGGGACATCCCTATGTTCTCTAGTGGTAATATGAGCCATGAATTTGCCAATCAACACAGACTCAGCCATGATCCTGGGTGGCAGCTTGGCCTGTGACCTCACCATGGCCACAGGTGAAAGGACTAACCACTCACAACAGGCTCCTCCTTTCCAGACTTGAGTCTCCAGCTCTGCCTCTCTTCACAATGCTCAAGCTGTTGTATTTCTCTTTCTCTCCCTCCCATCTGACCACCACTCATACACACTGTGGTTGCTCCTGTGGGCTAGCCTATGGCTGCTGGGTCCCTTGGTGACATCCTCAGTCCACAACCCTCCCGTGCTTTGTGCTGGAGGGAATGTCTGTGGGTCTCTGTCTTTCTTCCTCCTCCATTTCTGGGCTGCATGGACATAGGCCCAGCTCTGTGTATGCATGGTTTACGTGGGTGGGGTAAACAACAGGTCCGTTAGCATCTTCCCTCCACTTGTACAGGATGGCATGGTGAAATGCAAGTCTCTGTCTTTCTTTCTTCTCCCACACTGCACTGCCTGGGTTGGATTTGATTACTTTGATAT